AGTGCGTGTGCCTTGGATTTCTCCTAAGCTCACGCTCAGGGTTGTCTATGCCTTTCCGATGGAATGCCAACGAGGCGAGATATCGCTGAAGCGGCGGCCGTGACGGTTGAAGGGGTTCCAAGAAGGCAAGAACGGATGGCATTATTCACAAGCCTTTGCGCCTAGGCTTACGGTGCTTGTGCTGCCAGTTCATTGTCAATGGTTCAGCCGATGAGATTCGAAGGCGAAATGGTGGCCGACAACAAGTCACATTCGACGAGACAAGACGCGTGCACACAACAGCAATAGGGGCCTGGGAAACTCCCCTATCTTCATTCTTCATTTCAGAGCTTGAGTTACCGTTCAACAATCAAGATTTTTTATACGCTACATGATAGGGTTAAAATCCTTCGCACTATAAAGGATACATCAATCAGCTCCTACTCAACGGCTTCTACGCGCATAAATAAGTATTTGAGGAGATCGCTGAACCCACAAGCGTACTCACGAGATAGAATTTAGATGCTCAAGCGCATGCCCCGGTGGAACATTGACCAGGGCCTCTGGGAGGTAAGACAACGCAAACCCTGTCAGTTGGGCACAGAGTCACAGTGCACGGATCCTCGAGGCATCCTTGTGGATTGGGAACGGCGGCAGCTTGAGGGGCACTGATCGCAAGGACAGCGGCAATTGTGACGAAGACACGGCCGAACATTGGGATTTGGTTGAAAGTGGATGGGAGTGTAGCAAGATGCTGAGCGCATAAAAATGCAATGTGAGTAGTCCTTATACCTTTGGAGAGACTCCGACTCCCATGGTGTTGGAGCGATTGAAGAACACACGAGACCTCCCCAGGTACGTGAGTTTCAGCATTAGGCGGTCAATGTGGTCCTACAAATGATGGAGATAACTGTGCATAGCGGGTAGGTCGGGTATCAGCTTCTTGAAGGGTCTAACAGAGCTCTTGCTTATTTGGAGTTATACTGTTACACTCAGGTTATATTTCCTCCCTCCCCGGCGGCGTCTTGGTGATGCTGGATAACCGAAGATGGCGGGTTGTTACTGCTATCATCTCAGTTTGAGCGACGTCATACCAAACTTCCTAAGCTGACCTACTTACTCAGTTGAAATGCTCGCTGTACGCGCAACAGATCCACTCATTGAACCACTTCTTAGCGCTGAAGCCGGCGTTTCCCGACGATCATTCCCGAAACATTGCACATGGATCGAAAATCGAATGATACTTTGATTCTTCGCCACCATGACCTCCTGACTTTGCTTCTTCCAACGTTCGCACCATACCTGAGATACTCAGCACCATCTATGTACATATCGCCACAAGAAACTTACTCGGGTGCTCTTATCTCTGCTTCGCGGCTTATTCATGGAAGCAACGAACCCCACATTGTCTTGACCCTCGATGGCTTCTTGGTCACTTCTCCTGTCTCATAAATGCCTCCCACCTGTGATTTCTACACCGCTTGGTCTTTCCCCTCTGCCACCATGTCTCCTCGCTCAAACATCCTCTCGCTGCTTTCAGTCGGGCTCTTGGTCCTGACCTCCTTCTTCCCGGTCTCCACACTCGGTTTCTCCGTCTCTAAATACGACCAGAGTCCTGTCTTGGCTCCGGAGATTGGTGACGATTGTGTCTCTGGAGCTCGGTACAGTGGACGTGCAGTGGGAAAGAACGTCAGTATCGCGGGTGTCCCGACTTATTACACCAAACCACGTCATTCGAAACCCGGACCGAAGAAGGTCATCTTGTTCTTCTCGGATATCTATGGGCCATTCGCGGATAACAACTTTATGCTGCAAGACCAGTACGCTGGGGAAGGTACATACATTCTCCCTGGATTTCGAATGCGTTCGAGGAGCACATGGACTGAATAGCTGAATGTGCGGATGATAGGATACCATGTGCTTGGCATCGACTACTTCTTCGGGGACCCGATTCAGAACCACGATGGCGAAGTAGGATTCAACCGAACGGAATGGGTTAACAAGTCAAGACAGCAAGCTACGGATAGCATTCCGAAGTGGACTGAGCAGGTCAAGAAGGATGTGGGTAGCGATGCCAAGTTTACTGCTGTCGGTGAGTTCTTTGGATCTGTTGCGTCAAGGAGACAAGGAGGGGTTGACCGGGGGCCGTGCAGGATATTGCTTCGGAGCACCCTACTCGATGGATGCTGCTGCAGATGATTCATTCCTTGCAAGTATGTCGCTTCGTCAACAGCTTCGGATTCTCGGTACTGAGGATGTGTTTGCGATAGCTGCCTTTGCTCACCCATCCGGCGTAACTGAGGCTCATTTCTCGAACGCGAAGAGTGAGTTCTTTGCATTTTCTTTCTATCCAGCGCATCGCTGAAAACACGACTCCAGAGCCTGTCTTACTTTCCTGTGCCGGCAAGTCTACATGTCATCCCATCTGCCTGTGACGACTAACGAACTCATCCAATAAACTAGAAACCGATGGCTCATTTCCCTGGGCTTCTCAACGCCGCGCAACCGATATCCTCGTAGAAAGGAAGCACAGATATCACCTCCAAGTCTTCTCTGGCACTTCCCATGGATTTGCGACGAGGGCTGATCCCGCTGATTCCAATGCTGGTGCGTTCTTTGTCCTTTCTTTCCTCATTGGGAACCTTGTGTCTGAAGCTTGCATCTCGCTACAGTTTGGGCAAAGGAGGAGTCAGCCAGGAGTGTTATCGGGTGGTTCAATCGCTTCACAACGTAAGTCTAGCCTACCACCATCGAGGTGAACGGGAGAAAGAGAGATGTGATGAGTAGATAGTCCATTGTCCACCAGCCCAGTCTCTGTTGTAACTCGGACTGTCCCTTTCCTATAGACCGGTGACCGTCGCTCTATGAGACCAGTCGGCGAATTGAGGATCTTCTTAAGCCTTATTCGACAATTGGTTAGGAGTCTACCTTTCCTGTAGATCTGCTGGGTTCCATCCCCAGAGGAGGTATATTAGGCACGGCACATGGTCTCGCATTTTTCTTCGTTCGTTGGTAGTGTATAGGCTCGATCAAAGACTGATAAATGCTCGCCTTGTCTTTTACTCATTTTCGCGTGTTCGGTATTGCGGAACGGTGTATGCTTGAAAGTCCCTATCTCATGAAATAGGACAGTACGTCATCAATGAAACGTCCTGACGTGGCCTTGACATCTTCCAACTTACCAGTAGTCCTGGTTCCGCGCTGGTCACCTGGGCATCTCACGACCCTCGAGGCGTTCACGTACTCTAAAAGTCTGCGCCGCTCAGCCCGGCGTTGGTTGGCTGCTTGTTGTTGGATACTCGGTGCTTCTGACGCCAGATTCCTGCTTCCGTTCCATGCTTGATTTCGGTCTCAGGTGAATCTGAGCGCCGCAGACTCGAAAGCTTGAAGGTATTCTCGGAGGCTCTTGCGATACCTGTTTATTGTTCGAACTGGATGTTTCCCTCTCAGCTAAACATCTACTCTGGGTTTCGCCTCCTGTATACGTTGTCGGGAGATGGGGCGGCTTCAGGAATGGGTAATATCATAATGATATTGAAGCTCCTGAGTTTCCAACACCCTTCTTTACCGTCATGTATGATAGGTGTTGCATTCCTTCGAGATGAGTACCAAAGCTTAGCTCACCACAAAAGCTTCTCATGTCTTCTCACACCACCCACTATGCGTCCGGTTAGCAGGTTGAAGCGTGGTCCCAGCTTAACCGAGCCCGTTTCGTTTAGGCAGCCCAAAGTCCGCTATAAGAGGGTACTATCCAAGGCGGAAACAGGGCTCCATCTTGGACTAGCTATGTCCTTGATTTCGGTCACAAGAGGGTACGTAGCGGCCCACGGACTTTTCAATGGCTCGTTATCAGTCGGCAACCTCTTCGTAATGATCTTTCTGAGCCATATGGTCCGCTGAAAACCGTGGAATAGCTTTAGATCCCTTGCGACGTACTAGATCTTGAGCTTGAGCGGCGTAGCCGCGGCATGAGGTCGATATTGGCCCTTCCGAGTCGGCCGACCCTGCAGCTCCCTCGAAATCAGGGGTTTCCTTGGCTCCGTTGTACGTTCTAGTAATGCTTCGAATTCGGAACATAATTGCCCATTACGAAGTCCGTAAGGGTATAGCGAAGCGTGCTGATACTTCAACGCACCAACCGCGGCTGGGTCGCTGCTGCTATGCTTGAAAGTTTCATCCTGTACGGTATGTATCCCGTTTGCCTTGCACATCCCAAGCGATTCCGCATTTCTGGAACTCCAGCCCTCACACCCGTCTCTCTTATGACACGTTCTGCGTTCCCCTTGGAGCAGCAAAACGGTGGGGGTACGAGGCTTGGCCATGAAACTGGGCTCCCCAAGGAATCTTTCGGAGAACCAAAATGCAATATAAAAGTGGGGGAGTTTCGCTCCCAATCCTCAGTTGAACAGCCCACATATTCACTACAATGGCCTTCCGCACTCTCCTCGTTGCTTTCGTTGCTTCCGTCGCCCTTCAGGTCTCGGCTGCTCCCTCTGCGCCTTGCCCCGCTAATCCTTGCGCGGAAATTATGTGCATCGCTACCCACACGCCGGTGGTGGTACCCGCTCTTCAGCCAGGAGCCTGCTCGACTTGCCAATGTGTCCCCATTCCCGGTATGTAGCCTTCTCGAATCTTTCACTCGGCCTCAAGTTAAGTAGCTACATTTAGTGAAACGCCAAGAATGCGCTGAGAACCCTTGCGAGGGCATCTTCTGTATTGCAACCACCAATCCCACCATCATCCCCGGACTCAATGGGGCCTGCTCGACCTGCGAGTGTGTTCCCATTGGCGCTTAGGTGGGCTACAATTGCTTGGAAGATTATACGTCGAAGTAGCAGCTCTCCCGCCTATGAACAATTAGATATAGTCTTATACAGTTCTCACTTGCCATATTCAATGTAATACTTCATGATTGTTAACAAAAACAAGTTTTGAAAGGACTGTCTGCGCGGGCGATATTCTGCGATCGTTCGTGATTCATTATATAACTTCATGTTACAAAAGGGGGGACAAGCAAAAATCTCTCTGTCTGGGAATCGAACCCAGCTTTCGCGCGATCAAGTGAAATGACAGGCGCGTGTACTAACCGATATACGAACAGAGACATGGGTCTCAGCCTTTAATTCCTTACCATGTCAACAGCCCTCCTCAACCCTTCCATTCAAGAGACATGGGTAACCTCAAATGCTTGATTCTTTGAGGAGGAAATTACGTCATCAAACGGCAACCGCCTTGGCCGTCGTTTCAGGTTATCCTCGTTCCACCATGTTCTCGCTGAGCGCGCTGCCACAGAAGGCTTTTCATTCTCTTGATCTGAACGTCATATCACCGTGAAACCCGCAAGAAGGTCTTCTCTCTGGCCACCGTCTCTTTGGGAGGCCGCACTTATGTTGTTCTCTGGTTCTTTCAATCTTGAATCAAAGCGGCAAAAGCGTTCCAAAAGGCCGACCTCGATAGCTTTCTCGCAAAGTATTTTCAAATACAGTCGAAACCGCGATAACACATACCGAAGTAACCCATAGTCGGTAATAACCCATAGGTTTTTGGATCCACCGACTTGGTGCCAGCCAAATAAGGGCCCATAATCCATAACCTGTGATACCCCATAACCCATACCCAGATTGAGCCGTCGTAACCCATATTTTCATGGAAATTGGTCGATTTTTTTTTAGGTTATAAGTGCTCAAGGGCTCGAAATCAAGTTCTCTTTCCCTTGCGAGTACGCTTCCGATCTTCAAATGCCACAACCCTTACCGGGAAGTGTTCTCAAAGTCTTTCAGCACGTCTCAGATATTTGATGCACTTGGCACGTGATCTCCATGCACAGGGGGATAACTGGCTCTCAACGTTCTGAAACCGCATGAAATGAGGTGGGATGTTCTAGCTATCTTATATTTCCTTCATCCGCTACAAGCTAGTAGTTAAATCAGACCCACACGACGAATTTTCCACTTCCCAAAGCCAAATTGTATGATGGGAACCTTTGTCCAAATTTGGGCAACTCTCTGTTATCACATACACTGTAATAACCCATAGCTTTTGGGTTCCACCGAGGGGTATGGGTTATCGCGGTTTTGACTGTATCTACTATGCGCCTTCCGTCGTGCCCTTTATCACATCCCATGCGTTCATGAGACTCCAAACAATTAGTAACTACAGATCTTCCAAGCATTACATCCACCGCTGAGCTCATTTGCATACCTTTGCGATGATTATCAACCTATGCGCCAGCAATAGCCACTTCGTTCCCGACAAAGGCGTTACAAGGATTGTATCCCCATCCACAAGCATGGCATACGAGGTAACCACTAGAGAATGCTGACCACTGCTGTACGAGAGCCTCGACATCCATTACGAGGGCTCCTTCGTTCTGAATGACCCGCCATCTCTGGAGCGTGGAGAATAGCGTCAACAAGGCTCGCTTGAGCTCATCCTCGAATATATAAAGACTTCATAGCGTCTTCCTTTACCCTTCATTCTCTAACTTGTAATGGCCCGCATCAACATCCTAACCACCTTCTGCTCTTTTGCTCTCGCTCTTACGCTCTGCGTTGCTGAGCCTATCATTACCGCTCCGCCAGCTCTCACTCCTGCCCCTACACCGACTACCTCGACCTTGTCTTGCGAAGCAAGCTGCAGGATCCTGTGCCCAACTGGGTTCACCCTCACGGGATCGAGCTGCCCGTTCTGTGAATGCTGGCCAACGGCTACTCCTGTACGAAGGGCTGTCGAGACCTCCGAATGCTCGGCAAGCTGCAAGATCGCTTGTCCCACCGGATTTACTCTGACCGGCTCTACTTGCCCCCATTGCGAGTGTTGGCCTATCCAGACTCCGGCCTAGGCTAAACCTTCTCATCGGTGAGCGCTGATCCCCTCCGATTTTGAAATCGATTTTGACATCCATCCATATGGAAGGCCCAGATCAATAAGACTCGAAGTCGTACCGTGCTCGTCGCTTTGCACGAAATGTGATAGCTGTTTTTGGACCGCTGTAATATCATCTTGCTTCCTTGTTTAGACTGAACATAATCCAATTTTTGAACATCGAAACCCATGAGCTGATTAACATCGAATCGCTCACACGTTCATCCAAGCAAACCACGGAAATGGGGCGTTCCTTGGTCTTGCTCTCTCATTGCGATGCATACGGTTTCATAAACACGCTTTTCACGCACTAGGTGGCATCAGCGATTTAGCAGTCATTTCGTGACCTTCTCCTTGCCTTCTCCAGTGTGCGCCGGAGACGGTAGCTTTATATCCCAGATGAATATCACATTTCTCTTCGCCTTCCTCATTTGAATTGCTTGTACATCCGATAAACTCATTACTTGCCTAGTGTGGTAGTACCTCACGGAAAATCTCACAACGACCCACTCTTCATGGAATGGAAACGAACAGGGGAAAAGGTGGGGCCGCGCTTGTACTTGAGTATGAGTATATAAACACTTGTTATCCATCCTTCTTCCCCAGTCCTTCATGATGGTTCGTCTTAGCACTGTGACACCTCTTATCGCTTTTGCTCTGTCTCTCCCTGTGGCAAATGGACAATGCGTCAAGGATCCTTGCGCAATCGTGCTATGTCCCTTTGAGAAGCCCTACTCAATCATAGTGCCTGCTGCAGGACCTGGGTTGTGCTCGACATGCAAGTGTGTCGCTGAGCCTCCCTTCAAGCCGATCATCACTGGTCCACCGGGCCCAATCATCACTCGGCCCCCCAAGCCAACGACGTCAACGTTGTCTTGTGCGGCCAGCTGTAAAATCCTGTGTCCGACGGGATATACTCTGACAGGTTCGAGCTGCCCATTCTGCGAATGCTGGCCGACGCCTACCGCTACGCAAAAGCCACCAGCCGAGACATCCAAGTGCTCGGCCAGTTGCAGGATCGCATGTCCCACCGGCTATACGCTGACGGGTTCGACTTGCCCACACTGCGAGTGTTGGCCTCTCCAGACCCCAGTCTAGAGCTCCACCCGGTAAGCCTCGAGTTCGCACAAATGTGGAATCGATTTTGACTTTCGCCGATCAGGAAAACCCTTTTCTAATCAACATGAACTGATGCCCAAGCCTATTCTTATCGCGATTATCGCTGTATGTACAAAATGTGATGAATTTTTATGGTCCATTCAAGCCTTCCTCTTGTCTTGGTTTCGCCGTTAGTTTTCAGTGTTGGTTGCATCAGAAATCCACAACCGATTCTTATCAGGAATCCTTTCGCACGTTCATCCACCCAAATTGCGTAGATGCTCAACGGCCTGCTCAACGTCCGCCCTTGGTCTGTCATTTCGTATGGTCGAAGGGTACCGATATCTCTCTTATGTTCGCGGGTTTGAGCCTACTCGACGAAGTAATGATCAGATCGATCCAGGATCGTACCGGGGTTTGTTATGACTGCACCGATGTACAATGCACAAAAGTCTTGGTGCATGATAGCTCACCTGGAGCCACAACGTGCCTGGCCATTTTTCACTGCACCATGTGGCCTCCTAGCGGCGTGTGCGGCAAACCTAATAAACTTGACGTACCTGTCGATCTTAGGTGTTGAAACGAGGCCTCGGTCGCCTTGATCGATTCCGAGTCGGTTCACGCCGCTTCGATCTAGGATGTTCACCTAGCCCATCCTGCCTCGAATCTTGCACCAAAAGCAGGCATAATGTCTGTAACAGCTTTCTGGGCTATTTAAAAGCCTTGGAATACTCTAGACAGCTCCGCGAGCAACTGGAGCTAAAAGGTTGTTGCTATTGGCGAATGTCTTGTACCCTGAATCCGGCCGACTCCCACGAGGCCTTAGGCGGCGTTTTGCGCTCCTACCTTCCCGTCCATTCTCATCTTCTATTTCGGAACTTACGACTCTCTACCCGTCTCTCCGCTGACATCTGTTACATCTGTCGCGTAATGTTCATCGATCCATGGACGCTGGTCGCCAATCGAATGCTAAGCATAAATTTCTGGAGTATGCGATCTGTTATAAAGACGGCTGACGTTCACCCCAACTCTGCAGTCTGAACGACCCACACAATTATTTTAATGGCTTTCCGCACCCTTCTCGTCGTTGTTGTCTCTTCTGTCATCCTCCAGGCTTCAGCTGCTCCACCATACGTTCCTTTGCATGGGCGATGTTCGTATTTTTCATCACTTCGAACTAGGCTTGGCTGACAGTTTCTATCGTCTAGGTGGAGGAATTGGGTATAGAGGGCCGAAGGAGTGTGTACCCTTCCCCAACGTCAAGTGCGTTGTGATCAACCCCTGTACGTCTTACAGATGCACCATATAAACATTCCTGACACTTTATCTCCTCTCCTCATAGTTTTCTCCCAGTGCCGTGTCGTGAAAAAGCCTGTTTGTCCCGCAAACCCGTGCCAAGATCTTTTCTGTATTGCGACCACAACGCCAACTATCATTCCCGCCCTTCAAGAGGGAGAGTGCTCGACCTGCGCCTGTGTCCCCATCTCTGTGGAACCCGAATGTTTGGAGGATCCTTGTTCAGTTGTTCGATGCACCTCATCAACTGTGGCCACCGTAATGCCCCCCGCGTTCGGAGAAACTTGTACTCAGTGCCTCTGCATGCCACAATAGATACATATTTAGACTTTATTAATGATAACGCCCATTGTGTTTTCATGCCTAATCATGAGACACTACCCTCACCTTTCGACGTCCGACCCCTTAGTGACAATTTTTTGTCTCTCAAGCACAGCTCTTTTGTAAGGTTTACTGTCAGTGGTGCTAGCTAAACGGGAAACGGGGTTGAAGATACAAAGTGCAACTATCAGCTCCCTAGTCAGCGTACTGGAAGCAGCTGGGCTCAGATTCAATATCCATGATATCGCGAACCGCGATCGATGAGGAGAGGGTCGTGTAGGGTAGCATAAAGTCCAGCGTAAGGTTCTTTCCTCCCTGGCCCTGCGTAGTAGGTCCTGACACAGCGTTGAGGCGATTGGTGAGATCGGCGCTCTGCCACTTCCACCAGATGCGATCCAGGTTTCCGTGGTGAAGATAGAAGATAGGATCTATAGTGCGAGACGTTAATTAATGTCTGATGTAGGGGAGGAAGAGAAGCAAATGTACCTCCGGGGCTCGAGGCAGGGTTTATCATCTCGCCACCGA